GTCAATAATCGAGAGGATAAAATATTAAAAATAAATATTTATTGGTTAACTTGTTTTCATCAATCGTTTCATCAATTCTTATGTTTGTGAACATTTATTAATCACTTGAAAATTCATGTTATTTCAAACACGAGTATTACATATCAATTTTTGTCTCTGAATTAATAATAAATGAAGAACTGACCAATTTTTAATACGATTTCCATTAATCTCCGGGGAAAAACATGGTTTATTCGTTTCACAACTTTCCACGTACGTTACGTTGGCGTATAATTTTTACTTTCCTTTCCTTACATGCAAACCCACTTAATGCAATCCAGAATGTTGAGCAGTGCACAAACAAATAATGATTGCCTAAAACATGCTCGAGTTATGAAAAATTCTATAATGCACAAAGCTGTTCCAATACTTTTTCCAAGACGTTCTGGCATCTTTATCACTTATAAGATATTTTTCTCTCTTTACCTTGATTCCATGTCCTCTTTCCTTTTCATACATCGGGAAACGTTGCATCGTGCCGCTCCTTATTCCTTACCGTTATATTTCTAGCCCCTCACGTGCAGGCTGTCGTAAAAAGCACCCTCGATCCTGCCCTCCTCCTGTTTTTCTTCTACTCTTTCCTGCACGAGAAAAGGCAGCTATTTTCCTTGGCACGAATGAAAAATAGTCCGTGGAGCAGGGACCCCGAAAATTCTGACGCGAGCCGCGCAAACGTAACCATCCCTCCTCCTTCCCCACTCCACTTCAATCTTAACTCTCGTATTCCGTTATCACACATACGCGCGCGCGCGCGCACACACACACACACACACACACACTGTTTTCTTTCTCTCACTCTCTCTCTCTCTCTCTCTCTCTCTCTCTCTCTCGTTCGTGGAGAAGTAATACGCGCAATGTTAAATCGGCTGGACAGTCTATTTTCTGCGGCTGCGCGCAACTCGGCTACCCAAGCATATGCGTGCACTATATGCGCATGCATTAGTAGTACGCCCATGTGCATGCGTGCTCGTACGTAAGATCTTTTTGCGCTTTTATTCTCGGTGGAACTTTTTCGCTCGACGGCATGTTTACTTCCCTCCGCTCCTGCGAATCAGCTTCTATGAGGCGTAAAATTGCACGCGTGCCCTCGCGAATTACACGCTAGACTTGAGTCGCCTGTCCGAGCGCACTTAACTTTGTCAGCGAGTAATGCCAAATTAGGAACTTATTTTATTGATGACTCGATGACATGGAGAAATGCCGAGGCTGCTGGCGATGTCGAGCTACATGAAATGAAATTGTGATTTATATCACTTATGCTGACGACGTCTTGTAATTAGCTGTCGATACAGGGAAAGGAAAATTGTAGCTACTATATTATTTTGAAAAGAAACTTGAATTATTATTTCTGCGACTTCGAAGATTATTGATTTGATTGTCTCACGTATTAGGGCAAAAGAAAGTTGAAAATATTGAAAATCTATTGTATCCCACTATTAACAACTATCCGGTCACAGAAAATTTTACGCTTGTATCTTTTAATTTAGAGAAATTTTAAATTATGTGTTTGTTGTGGTCAAATTTTATCGGCATATTCATCATTACAAAATCTAATGCAAATTATCAATCATAAAAGGCAAAATTGCATTTTACTTATGCATCGTATATTTATGAATTATTTTTTAATTAGAATTTTGTATTAACTGAATTTATTCCTTTGCTTGAAAAAGACGTTTGATTATTAAATTATACATTACGCACAGAATGTAATAAAATATCTCGTTATACAATATAATACGTCAATAAGATATTAGAATATAATTAAATTTACTTACGATTACATAAAAATAGGGAATCATGAAGAAATATATGATGAAAGGAAGTACTAGTAATTTCTTTGAAAATTTGAATAAAATGCTTTAATAATGAAAATTATATTATTTTTTATTAAATTTCTACTATAATTATTATTATAAGCGTTGTTATATTTATAAGTGAAAAGTTAAGCTGTAATATATTACTCGGAATGCGCATGTTGCTAAAGCAGGTATTAACGCGTCAGGTGTCATAATATATAGTACCTGTTTTCGTCTCTTCCTTTCTTCATACGGTAATATAAAAATATTATATATTACCTACGATATGAAATAACAATGATATTCACTAATATTTCAATGTAAAATTAGTCTATTCAATTTTTAAGCAAACAGCTGTAGAATATTGTTGAAGAATGCTTAATTATCTCTCGTACACTATAAAAAATATTACTAACTAACTGGAGATTCTATTGTTGTTTTCTGGATCTTAAATTATTGAATATTTATAACAAGATCTCGACTAACGGAATTTGTGGGTATAAATTTTGGAAGTAACTTTTCCTTAATTAATTCTCTGCAGTATGTATTACATATATAGAAACTACATATAGCATTAATTTATATTTATTCATTTTCACTGATGTAATAGTCGATATTATAAATTATACATGAAAATTATCTAATTTTATATCAACAACATATTGTGTATATTATTAAATACGAAAATGAACGATACATGTGAAACGATAATTATATATTAAACTTATTCATAGAGTCTAACTTTCCCATCGTTTTATGTAAAAACATTTCTTATATAAATATAACTGGTTACAATCTACCTTTACCTTTTTAAACCGAGTGTAGCGTAGTTAGTGCTTGTAAGTAGGTGATTGGATACCTCGAAACTGCCCAGGATGTTCACGTTTATTGTCATACTCTAGGAAATCGCTGGTGTTTCAATGCGACCGTCCGAGAAAAGGTAGACGATTTTTTATGCCCCAGGTTACCGCAACTGAGATACTCACAATTCTCAAATCAATCAAGTTCTAGAATCAATATTTTCTTCCATATTTCCATTACGAAGTAATAAAAAAAGTTCTTAATAATAAGCAAAACATTTAAATGAATATGTCAAATAACAAAAATCTTTAATGCGATTGTTGTACGACTTCAAAAAGAATTGCTCTTGTTCACTCAGCCTAATAATATAATAATGATTAAATATTCATTTGTATTTTACGAAACGTTACAGACTTTCAAATATTGGTATTCTGAATAATCAATAAATCTCTATATAACATGATTTATGGAAGAAGTTAAATTTTTTATTGATCATTTATGAAATAAAACTAGCAGCCGATTTTAAATAATAATCATCTGTACTACACGTAAATATAATGTAGACCTAGATTTTCCGAATATGTGATTATATATTTTTAAAATATTGAAAAACTTAGAATGAGGAAAAAATGGTTACTTACGAATCTTCCATGGGCAATGATTGTAAATTGATCTGATATATGCTGTCAATGTAAAGTAAAAATATAACACAAAAATGACGGCTGAACAGTTATGAAAATCTTGATGAACCCAAAAAGAGAATGAAGTAGCTGAAAAGCTAATAAAGCTGCTTGTGATCGAATAATATTTTCGTGATGCAGCTCACGTAGCCTAGAAGATGTGTCGACATATGTGCGTGCGTGCTTGTGTGAGCGGTTGTGTATATGTATATGCAGCACTCATCGCTTTTAACAATTTCAATAATGGATTCGTAAGATGAAAGCACTCCGCAATCGTCGTATTTGTAAGACGCCGCTCTTCTCAATCTACATCGACACGCTTCATTTTCCTGATTGTATAGTAATTATAGTAATTATCCGATGACAGTGAAGCAATATGTATGTATATATACGCACGTACCTATAGATGCAAGATTTTATGTACTTTATGTATACATATAAATAATTCTCAAGTTATTGTTTAACTTAAATTAAATAATTAAATAACTTAATTAAATACAAAAATCATTTTGAACAATTCTTTTAAATGTAAAATGAATTATCACAGCTCTCATTTATGCTATATATATATATATATATATATATATGCACACACACACACACACACACACACACACACACACACACACACATATATATATAAGCTTTTAAAGTGAACTCGGGTATTGATAAATTCAAGTTTACACTTAGCTTTTCCTAGAACTGAAGAGTTTTAAAGTTCCATAAACACTTCAGACACGACAGAAAATGAGTCTTTGACTTTAACTTCTTGAGAGACACGAGTTATAGAAATCTTTAAATAAACTTAAAATATGAAACTTGTTTTTAAAGCCTTAGAAGGTGATTTCGTTTTTTTATTTTATTAACACAAAGTTGGTGTAACATTTCGATTTGCATCCTCTCTCTCCTTTAATAATATTATTTCAAGATTTTATTTGGATGATATAAGCATGATTTAAATTGGTTATATAAATAATAAGTACATAGATTAATATTTTTATTAATATAGTGAAACTTCAAGTTCTGCTCAAATGAAAAAGTTTTAATTTACTTAACTATTTATTATTATAGTATTTATTAATATTTTTTAAAAGCAACATACACACAGTAACAAAAGAGTTTACAACTCTTCTACTCTACTATGATCTTTCTTATTATTAATAATAAATAATAGGGAATTTTAACTTATTAATATGCTAATATTAAAGCAACATCTGTGTAAGATATGTATATTATTATTCTAAACATTTATACATGATAGAGTTAAATTTATTCATATTATGCAAAATAATTACAAGTTTATTACCCTTGAAATTTCATTAAAAATTTTCTTTGCGGTAAATCTGCAAAAGCATTGTAAAGAACAAACGATACGCTATAATAATTTATTAATATCAAATGAATAGTAACATTATCGCGAGCGCGCGCGCGTGTGCGTATGTAATAATTACATACAAAAACTAAAAAAAGAGAATAAGAGAAAAAACAATAACCCCGAAAAAAAAGCAAAAGCTTTAGCTGTATTTTATTTTTTCATTCGAAAGTAAACAATATCTTTCGAAACTATAGTAAAAGGAATTGTGCCCTTTGGGCAATTTTTTCTCTTTTAACATGCATCAGGTATTCTCTATCCGCAAGCGTTTATTTGCTCTATTTTTTATTTAACGAGACTCTTTTGTTTCAGGATCCTGCAACTCGGCGCTGGGTATGGAGTCAGGATCGATATCGGATTTGGCCGTCAACGCGTCATCCTCGTATGTGACAAATGTCGGACCACGTTATGGACGGTAAATCTACGTAATAGTTTCTTAGAGCCAAAGACGTGCTTTGCAGCGTTACTGGTTTTGTTTTTCCCACGAATTGTCAAACTTTTTCTAAATAAACTGAGCATAGAGTCAAATTAACTCATATATTTTGCGAACTAGTATCAATAGTTTTTTAAACAACGATTCACAATCATCATCTTTTGTAATTATTTTTATTATACGGATCACTGAGACTCGTTGATAGTCATTCGAATAAGAATTTAGGAGAGTATGTAAAATAGTATTAAGAGGAGCACAAAAACGATGATTCTTTAGGAATTTTGTACGACAGATAATTCTGCCTGAAATTATTGAAGAACCTCAAAACAAAAAAAGAAAAAAAAAAGAGAAGAAAGTGGAATATTTATTTTCAAATATTAAATTTAGCTTTTATTAGATTATTAATATAAATGACACGCGACACGCACAATATCAATTGCAATTAATCTATCTTTTAATGAATATACTTGTTATATATTCAAGTTTTTCACATTAATTATTAAGGTTATGAGGATAGTTTATGATTTAATAAAGAATTAAATATATAGTTTTATTTTGTAGTATATACCTCTTATATAAAGATAGTCAATTATTTATTATATAACAATAGTATTTATACAGAATTTTCATAAATATTATGTGAACGCACTAAAAATATTTTTCTAAAGAAATTTAATGCAAATAAAATAATTTTACAATTCAATAAATCTCAATTCAATGAGACACTGTAATATTAAGTTAAATTAATATTTATTTACCCTCCTACATGTCCAAAATATAAAATTCATTCATTTCTATTTTATAATATTGAATTATTTAAACATTAAAAAATCATAATATTGATTTTACTGAAAGAGTATCAACAAGAATAACAAAAATATTTTATTAATAATTGTTTATAATGCGAAACGTCTCATTTCTTCTGAAATACATACAAGTTTACGTTTGAAATTTTCTTAAGAATTAGCAATTTAGCTATTAAAATTTAAATATTCAAAAATTATTCATCATCTGTTTCTGCCAAATACTTAAATGATATTAAATCCTACATCATTGATAATCGCCGAGATTCGGATTTATACGTTACAGATATTATAAATTATATTATTATACCATATACCTGCATACAGAACACTTAATTTTCTTAGTTATAATATAATTTATTTGAAAAATTAATTTTTTATGCAAAATATTTAAATACGTGAATATCTAATACAAAATATCGTTTCATTATGTAAATAAACCAAGCATAGAGTCTGGAATTTCTTGAACTCATTAATCAAAATTCACCAATATAGCCTTACTTGCCGCTACTTATTTCATGCCATAAATTGGTTAAATACGACGCTAAATATAAAAGCGTAAATTGTTGAACAAAATATTAATATTTTCAATATAAGAGTTAAAATTCTTCTTCAGCTATTTTTTCGTATTTTTATTCTTAATGATCATTATTAGCTCGTATCTGTATTTATTAACTTTCGAAAATATATATCCACACATTTAAATTCATATGTTTATAAATCAAAAGTTATAAAGCAATGTGTAATCAAGTTTCCATAAAATTAGATATATTCAAATTTCAATTTAATTCTTAAAATATCAAATGAATAATAATTACATATATTGTGATGATATTTGTCCTTTTTAATAAATAAAAATCATATTCTTGATTAAAACTGTTTCTATTTAAAACACTGGGCAAATGTAAAAATTTATATAAATATAATCAAAACTAATAATAATAATAATAATAATAATAATAATAATAATAATAACAATAACAATAACAATAACAATAACAATAATAACAATAATAATAATAATAGTCATACGAAAATTATTTCGGGTCATCCATAGCAATGCTTTTATTTGTTTCATTTTTCATATTTTTTGATGCACATTTTAAGTATGCTAACACAGTCGGTTGAAATATTCGATTAACCAAAAACTACTGTCGACCTGAATTTAAATTTAAAACTCGCTTAGATTTTAGCGACGATGTAGCAGATTTATTTTTATTTTTCTCTTTGCTTCATTTAAAAATCGATTTTTATAATCATCACAAATCACTATAAATATTTTATTAACTTTAGTGAAATGGTATAATACACTGATATTATAATAATAATAAAATAGATATATTATGCTAAAAGTGAATATTTTTCATCCGCCGCATCGCAAGTATACAATTCTTTTATTAATTATTATGTCTTCGATTGAACCGCCCTTTAATTATATAAACTCCAAATATATTTCTTAAATTTTATAACTATTTCTCTAGTCTATATCTCCACTCCATACATATATATATATATATATATATATATATATATATATATATATATATATATATATGTATACATATGTATATGTCTCTTCAATTTCTGTCGGAGAATGAGGAAGAGTACGACGTGCCCATACTCCTCGAGTAATTCTACAAAAGCTATAAAAGAGCCTATTCAATGAAGCATATCTCTATTCTCTCTAACTATACTATATGTGCAACATTTTCAAACTTCTTCTTTCTTCCGCCGTAGTTAGATGAATAAGAGTAGCACTATCATGCAACCATCTATGGATAAAATTGCCTTCGAATTTTTCCTCTCGTAGCCTCTATTCGATCAGTAATGTACAACAGGCGTCATTAGCGGTATCCAATCACATTGTTAGTAAAAAGATAATAATAAAAGTCGAACAATAGATAAAAAAAAAAAAGAAGATAAAGAAGAAAAATAAACTATGCCCTAATAAGTCCGATATTCACAACACAAAAAGATGATTTCCATAGCCTGTTCGTGAAATGCGATATAAAGGGATAATATAATAAAATATATGTAAAAAGGCTACTAGCGTTTATAAACAAATAATGGTACCAATATGACATTCAATTGCATAAAATGATATAATTGAAATTTCTTGCTTCTGTATAGTGTTAAATTTAATCAATAATGAGTTTCAAAGTAGCGAACTAAAAAATTAATTTGTAATAGCATTGGCAAATAATCAAGGATTCAATTTGTTTAAACTCTGATTTCAGTTAAAAATCTTTCTGCTATTAATAATCTCTTATATTTTGTTAAAAATATCACTAAATGAATAAGACTCAATGTTAATAAAATTTTAATTATAAATAAAGAGCGCTTTCACATAGAATATGAAGTAAAAATGTTCAACAATAACACATTCTACAAATACGCTAAAATAAATCCTCTAAAAATTCCTGGTGATATTTATAAATCAATTCGCAGAATTGTGCACTATATACGGCATAAACGCAGAATGTTGCGCAGCTTAATATATAGTGTGTACATTAAAAAGTAATTACAATAATATGCAAACTTTATATGACTTTACTATAAAGAAAGTTCAGAATTTAAATAATTATGACCATTTTTATGTATCCGTAAAAGAGTACGAAAACTAATTGGAAAATAAAAAAAAAGTAAGGAAAAAAGAGTGACAGCTAAACAGTCACTACGTGCTCTATTATAGAGGCAGATAAAAGGAATTTACATGGCTAATGTTAGCTGGGAATTAAATTTAAAAATGAAGAAAAAATTTAAATGTTATTTATTAATTTAGCTTAAATCTGTTTGCATTGCTATTTATATGAAAATTTCAGATTTTAATTAAAATTTAATTAAAACATATTTAATTATTTTAAATGTATTTATCGTAGCTGGCATTGTTTTTATTTTAAAGCATTGCAAGTAGACTATTGCATAGAGTTATTTATAACGGGCAATGGAGCCTGCCGAGTTCAACAAAAATTTAATAATATTTACTAAATAACAATGATCTAAGAAGTACTAAATTACCTTTTCAATGACAAGACATAAGATAAGAAAAAAAATTAAATCTTGATTTTTTCACAACATTTCAATATAAATATTTGTACTACGATAAATATACATGAATGACTTATCTTCCAAGTGAAAATAAAGTCCATGTAAAACGAGAACAAGACAATGATTAATGCCGCAACTTCTCCTGAATAAAAAATTAACATTTATTACATAGGACATAAAGTTAAAAATTTTACTTGTGTTATTATAAGGATGTAAATGAAAAATGTTGTCAATCTTATTTATGAATAATCGTTTAATATCTTTAATTACCTAATATAATTATAATCGTATTAAAAGTCATTTTTGCAATACATATATATATATATATATATATATATATATATATATGATTTCGAAGAGTTATTCTATTTTATTAAATGATGATACTTACAATGATATATTCATCATATTACATAACGATTAAGTATCTAATAGAAATTGATTATTACTACGATTAACTTTCTTATTCAATATCTTCATTTCTTCTGAGCGCTAATTATTAAAAATACTAGTCGGTTTGTATTCTAATGAAAGACTACATTAAATTTGTTGTCGTTAAGGAACGAATGTTCATCCATTGAATTATGAACGTTGAAGAAAAAATCGGATAAAAAAGATCGCATGGATAAATTTACGGCATTGACGAAATTTTATAATCAATAGCTCTAATCCATAATGTTTCAATGTATCATGACAAGTCGCGTTGTCGTCAAGTGGCCACAGAGGCAAATCGGCACGAGAGAATCGGTTGTTGATCCCAACTTCCAATTTGTCCTTTTAATTTTAACGTGACCCTCGTGCTCTTCTATAGCCTCAAGCGTCGCATGTCTTCGTCCATCGATTCCGTAAAATTTCACGGCTCTCCTCCTCTGCTCATTCGTACTACCGTTTATTCTCGAAACGAATGCCAAGAGGAGTGACCTCCCGGAGGCTGTAATAGACGGCGCAAGGATAATCGCACCTCAGGACTGGATAAACTCAATACTCGTCAACTTGCTACGAATTACAAGATTATTATGTATATGCAGACAATAATAAAAATAAGCATTTAGATAATATTTAGATGATATTTATATAATTACGTGAGATTTCAATGCCAAAAAGGTACGAGACTTTCATAAATAAAAAAAT